TTTAGATTAAAACACTGCAGAGTAAATAGAATCTTGAAGGTTTCCAAAATAAAATATCATGTTGCTCATAGCAACAAATTAGTGACTAGCCAACCAAGGTTTGCCTTTAAAATATATCAAAATAGGCTGTCCTCTACGTGAGAGAGAGTCTTCTTTATGTTATGATTGCTCTGTAAGATACATTACATTATGATAAATGATCATGTACATTGTTTTGACAATCAGAGAATTTATGAATGAGAACCTGATTTGCCTGCAGTGATGAACTAAATTGTAAGAAAAAAAAGCATTAACAATGATGATACCATTTAAAATTTGTTTAAGAATTGCGTTACAGTTTTGCTTTCTTCTTAATCAGGAGCAAAAAAGCAGCCAAAAGGCATTTATTTTGCAGTAACGAGCATATGACAGCTCTCATTAGAGAATTCACTTCCACATCCACAGGTACAGTGGGTTTGTTTTGGCTGCTGCAGCCTAGAGACCTCCTACTCATGTTTTCCTCTCTGAGTGCATAAGAGTGTCACCAACTTTTGCTGTCATTTGCCTGAAGGTTCTGAGGATGAGAGGGTGGTGATGCTTCCCCGGCTTTTGGCAGGGTTTGGGTGGGTGACGTGGGGGGGAGTTGGGGGGGGATATGTAGTAGTTGGGTCTCTGGATCTATAGGTCAAGCATGAAATGCTTCCTGGATTTATGGGAAACCTGTTTCGTGTTGAAACAGAAATTACAACCACCTTTCTCCAGCCATGACTGGAGAACTCCAAAACCAACAAACAGCAGACTGTGGCCGAGAACCTGGTGCAGAGGTGAAGGCAAGAGAATCATAAGTTCGAGACTAGTCTGGGCTACACCTTTGTGTTAGTTACTTTTTTTGTTGCTGTGATAAAAACAAAAACAAACACACAAACAAAACAAAACCATGAGTTTATTTTGGCTTATGCTTCCGAGGAAGAGTGTAGCATGAATCTTAGAGGGCCTTATTAATAAAAACAAACCTGAGCCAGGTATTGGGGTGAATTGCTGGAAGATCAGAGAAGCAGAATAAGCCACAGCTATCTCACCTTGCCAGTTCCTCAGCTGGTTCTGTTTTCTCAGACTGGAAGCCTCTGAGTCCTCATCCAGAATGGCTCTCAGCTGAACTGTGCTGCTCAAAATCTAAAAGCTTAACCAGCCAAATGCTTAACTAGGGCAAATGCTGCTAGTTTCTGGTCCTCACACCTTATATACCTTTCTGCTTTCTACCACCACTCCCTGGGATTAAAGGCTCGCTTTCTAGGATTAAAGGCCTTTAACCTTTAATCCCAGAAAGGCTGTGTCACCAAGCCTTGCCATTTCCAATGTGGCCTTGGACTCACAGAGATCCAGAGAGATTTCTACCTCTGATGTGCTAGGATTATAGGTGTGAGTGCCACGATTTTCTAGCCTTTATGTCTAGTGGCTGTTCTGTCTCTGACCCCGGATAAGTTTATTAGGGTGCACAATATTTTGGGGAACACAATACCACCACAGAAGAGTTCATCACGGTGAGGGAGGCGGGATGTCAGGCAGCCAAAGCAGGAAGTTGAGATTCACCAAAGCAGGAAGTTGAGACTCGCCTCAGCTGCAAACCTGAAGCCAATCCCAAACAGGAAGTGGGGCAAGGCTTCGAACTCTCAAATCCTGCCTCAGTGACCTACTTCCTCCAGCAAGGCTGCACCTCCTCAAGCAGGGCCACCAACTGAGGACCACGTGTTCAAAACCCTGAGGCTATAAAAGACATTTCTTCCTCAAACCACCGCAACCTTTAAACTGGGGACATGAGGAGATGGGTAAGAGCACTTGATATGTAAGCAAGAGGACACACATGTAAACCTCCAGCACTCATGTAAAAGACAGGCATGATCAGGGGGAGCCTAGTTTTGGAGGGCAGAGAAATTGGATCATAGGAGGTGTCTGGCCAAGCCACTCTTTCTGAAATGATGAGCTGTCATTTTACTGAGAGAGCCTGTCTCGAAAATAAGGTGGAGAATGATAGAGAAAGATATCTGACCTCTTCCTCTGGCCTTTGCATGGCATCTGCACACACACACACACACACACACACACACACACACACGCATATACATACCCTTACACACATGCCACACACAAAAAATAAAATAAAACAAAAAAATCTCCAAGCTGATTACCTACCAAGGAATAAAGAAAACAAGAAAAGTGATGAATTGTTAACAACATGCACAGTAGCAGTGTGTTGCAAACTTTCTAGGGGACTCAACGATGCCTAGGTTTGGGTGTCACTTAGAGAGATCTGCTAGTGTCCTGACAGACAGAGAACATCACTGGGCTTATTCACCTCGGCAGAGTTTTTTGATAGAACCTTCAGATTTGCAGGTGTATCCAGCAGTCTGAGGTGCCACAAACCAAGTTCATAAAAGCCCGAGCTGTAAGCTAGCATTCCAGTTCACCTAATTGGCACAGAACACATCAGCCAGGTTCGGTGGCATATTTCTGTAGTAGTAACTATTCAGGAGACTAAAGCAGGAGGATCACTTGAGCCTGGGCATTTGAGAACAGCCTGGGGGACATGAGAGACTTCATTCTTTAAAATAAACCAACAAGCATAAGGCCAGGTATATTTGTTTCTTACAGCTAAAGGGAAATAAAAATGAGTCTCCAACTTGTAATAAGAAATATACTGAGCCATGTGCATCCCTACGAAGTGATGTACCACCCAGTGTGGCTGTTGGGACCCAGAGCAGGGGGTCCTGTGACAACCAGATTTTAATGTTTTAGCTCATCTTCCTTGATCAGGCATGGTGGTGCATGCCTTTAAACGCAGTACTCAGGAGGCAGAGGCAGGAGGATGCCTGAGTCTACAAAGCAAGTTCCAGGACATCTGTGGCTACAGAGAGAAATCCTATCTCTTAAAAATAGAAAGAAAGAAGCATACTGATACACACAAGACATGGGACTAACTGAACATAAAACCCTAAAGCAATTTCTCTTGGAGGGTGTAAGAGGAAGTTGAGATGAGAATAAATTCAAGTCTTCATGAGGTGCTATGAGGTTGTGTGGTATGGATTTCAATGGCTTTGCTAGGCCACTGTGTCCTTCCTGAAGCAGAGAGTGGCATGTGGCTAGTGTCTCCATCACCATGGCACCCTCTTTATGCCCTGCTCAATGCTGAACTTCTGGTGACTGTTCTTCCCATTCTGTTCCCATTGCTCTTCTTCCAAAAGGCCACAAAATGATAAGGAACATTATCACTGGTGACTTCATGATAATCAGGGATATCTTGCTTAATTAAATAAAGTCTTAACTTATGTGTAACCTTTCAAGGTCCTATTGTGCCACACATTTAGTTCACAGTAAAGAAGTGACATTTACCCTTTGAACTTGCCCTTTCCTTAGAATAATTTATACTGCTTTCTTATTTCGAGGCAATGTAGGCAAGAGTCAGATGTTGCTCCTGAAATATCAAAAACAAAACAAAACAAAAAAACAAAAAACAAAACCATGATCCCGCATTTTGTCTGACCCTTTCCCCCAGAACAAGGGATTCTCCTATATTAAGCCTCCTTCTTAGTTACTTTTCTGTTGCTGTGATAAAACATCATGACTAAAGCAACATGTAGAGGAAAATTTATTTGGGTTTACAGTTCCAGTGGCATAAGAGTCCAGCACGGCGGGGAGGCGTGGCAGGAACCAGCAGGTGTGGTGGCCAGAGCAGGAAGCTGAGAGCCTACGTCTTTAAATGAGAATACAAAACAGAGAGAACAAACTGGAAGCAGGGAAGGCGTTTTGCTCTCAAAGCCTGTCGCTAGTGACGTGGTTCCTCCAGCCTGCACCTCACGAACTTCCATAAAACAGCACCGCCAATGGGGGACCAAGTATTCAAATATCTGACCCCATTCTCATCCAGACCATGACACCCTCTTAAGTTGTCCGTCCATCGTCGTTCACACACACTGAAGGTTCTTTTTAGGTGCACAGTGCTGCATCAACTTCAGGGGTGACATATAACCTGCTCTACGTGTCCTTCACTTGGGGATGTCTTAGTTGGAAAGTTGAATGTAAGTAAGAAAAAGTAATTTAAAAAAAACACAAATACTTAAGAAATAGAAGTGGCATTAGAGACCACGAACTCTTATACATATCCACTCACCAGGGTTGGGGTGGTAGCAAATTCTTCAGTACTGTCCTTCACGAAGACTTTATTTTCTCCTCCTCTTAGCTCAACTTTCTCTCATTCACAAAAGGGAAATTGTTTTGGGTACACAGATAGTCTGCTTTCTTGTATTATATGATGGAACCCAAGCTTTCAAGCCGGGTATGATTCCAAGGCTATCTTCCTTCACCAATGCTGTCTTCTTTGGCTTTACATGTTCACGAATTTCCAAATTTGGTTCCCCTGGGCTGGGCTGTCTTCCTTAGGATGCCCAGTCTTGATAGGCCACTGTCAGTTGGACTCTTATGCAAAGCTCATTGCTTTCAGGCACCTCACCTTTACGTCCCCACAGGCCCCAGATGTCTACCCATTCTTTCCCATGGTCACAAGTCTGCTCTGTGAATGGGACTACCACCCAACCCCTTGATAGAATAAAACTTCCAAAGTCATTCTTTTTGCCTACATGTATGTTTGCATATCACATGTGTGCCTGCTGCCCATGGAGACCAGAAGGGGGTATTAGATTCCAAGAGACTGGAGTAACAGACAGTTTGTGAGCCACCATGTGGGTGCTGGGAGTTGAACCCTGGTCCTCTGGAAGAGCAGCCAGTGTTCTTAACTGCTGAGCCATCTCCTCTGCTCTTGAAGGCATTCTTAAACCTTATTTTCTCCTTCTTTTCTTCCTTCTTGCCTCCGCTAATGATATACATGCATACCTCCAGTTTTGCCTCTAAGATAGGTTTCTCCTGTATCTGCTATTAACATACTCCAAGTTGCTATCGTTTCTTACCAGAACTAGCTCTTTGCCCTTTTCTTCTTTTTCTTTTTCATCCTCAGCGGCTAAAGAAAAGGCGAGCTCCCTGGCGCTTCACTTGAGAATGCTGTGATCCTGAGCTTCTGCCGGTTCTCTCTCAATCCGTTTCGGCTCATCTGGTCTCTTCTTTTCCTTCGCCGCCATCCTCCTCTCCTCCTCTGCCCGGGGTTTTAGACAACTACAGTGCTTGGTGCCGTAGGCCATGCAGAGGACCAGGGCTGAGTGTCGGCCGAGCTTGATTAGCCGAGAGACCTGAACTGGGGCCACCATCATGTCCATGACTTTCGTGCCGGAAGCTCGACTGAGGCGGAAAACCTGCCCTTTCCATTTTTTTAAAAAAATAAATTTACATCGTAAATGGTACCACCCTGACCATTTTCAAGAGCAGAGTTCAGCGCCATTACGTACATCTACACTGCTGTGCAACTGCCGTGTCCGTCTGTCTCTGGATTTTCCCCTCATCCCAACCAAAACTGAATCCAGTGGAAAACAGCGTCTCTTCCCTTAGGCTTTGCGAAACACCATTGCATTCTCTGTCCCTATGAATCCCACTTCATAAAGAGAGGGAACCATCTGTGTTAAATTCTGGGACTGACGTCGCAGGTCCCGGAAAGCAGAGGGAAAGGTTGAAGACCGGCACACTGTGTTCTGGCTGAAAATGACAGCGTGACTTGTGGTTGGGAATGAGCACAGCGAAGAGAGGGAGGTACATAAGCAAGCACCAGACTCCTGTGCTTGTGCGTGGTGGTAGAGAGCCTGGAAAGGCATGCAGAGACCGTTCTGAGTACAAGTGCACTGCTGGAAGATATTAAGCCAAACAGTGACAAAAATCTGACTCGCATATTCTTCAGACAGTCTCTTGTAAGCTCAGTCTGACTCTGAACCGGCCTCAGCCTTTGTGCTCAAGTATGACACCCGGCAAGGATTCACACACTGTCTGCCCGACTTGTGGACATACCCCTCTGGCATAATACTCCTCTTAGCATGGAATTTATGTGCAGAAATACAAACTAAATGCCTTCACAACAAGAATATCTGACATGTAAACAACTCTCTCAAAATCAACCGAGGTACTTTTGCACATTGGAAATAAATTTATTCTAATACATGAGACTCTTTTTTTTTTTTAAGTGTGTGGAAAGAACCTCCACTTTTCATTGAAATGAGGAATGCTGACATGTACCACAAGTTGCAAAGCCCTGGTTAACACTGCTGTTTGGGGATGCTTAGAGTATCAGTAATTATTGGCTCAACAAATTGATTTTCCAGTTTTTTTTTTTTTTTTTAAATCAAATTCTTCACCTTATATATTTGAATGACTGCTCTTGGGACCAGATTGAAGGGTTTCCACCATATTGAAAATGTCTTTCTCCAGGAGTCTTGGTGAAACTGTCCTGCCCTGACCGGAGGAGGGTGGGGAGGGTAAGCAAAGCCACTTTATGTGAGGCCAGGGCTGCTCTTGGTTTTGCCACTAATTAGAGCATGACCTCCTGCAGGTCACTAGACCTCTCTACCATGGCCCCTTTCCTCATTGTTGAATGGACATGGTGATTCCTGCTCCTTTATGAGGCTTTAGGGCACACCTGAGCTCTGTGGGTCTGTGCACAGAAGCCACTCTGCCAGTGAAGAGATTTGTGTCATTTTTTTTGTTATTGTTCACATGTAAAACGTTAATATGTAAACTAATTATACATTTAAAACTCCCATGTTCTTACTTCTGTGTACTGTCATTTTAAAAACCCTATTATATAAGGAAATTTTAATTTTCTACTAGTTTCAGACCTACAGAAAACTTGTGAAAATAGTTCAATTTCTCAGTTACCTTACATCCAGTTTCTCTTAACCACCATTTTTAGATTAGTATTTTATCCTTGTTTTTCATCAGTAAGATACATATTATTCTATAGGTTCATTATATATGTAAGAAAACAAATGTGGGGAACCCTGCTTTCTTTTTCTGTGATTTTATTTAGCTCCTTTTGCACCCTGTTGGGAGGTGACATATCTTCTATAAGTAAATGTATAGTTATAATGTTTCTTGGCTCCAAATAACAGAAAACCCAGTCCCAACCGACTTCCCGGTGAAGAGGATTTATCATCTGAGAAGTAGGAAGTATGGAAGCAGAGGATGCAGTTCAGGGGGTTGAGTCAGGGACTCAGTGACGTCAGGAGAGCCCCGGGCTATTCTTTTGGAATGCCTTCTCATCCTCTGAGCCTCTGGCTTGTCTGCGTCGCCCCTGCTCCTGCTAGCCAGATGGTACAGCAATTCATCCATTTTCCAGATGCAGCCACAACCAGGAGAAAGCAGATTTTGCTCCCTCCGTGATCAGCAAGGAAAACTTTCTCCAGAAGCACCCCCCAACACACACTTTTCGAAGATGTCCCCTCAATTTTTTTTTGGTGTCAAATGCATGATATGCCCAGGACATACCAGTCACTAGTAGGGAAAGAAGGGGCTTGAGTAGTTTAGAATATCTGTGGAGTGCCCTTCGGGACCGAGACTAGGGTTTCCTCTCTTCTCCCAGGAAAGCATGTGGCCATCCTGGGGACAGCAGACACTTGAAGAAAAGTGAAGCTGGGTTAGAAAGGGGGTGTGGTGTAGTGGCAAATATCGAGAAAGTAACAAAGGCAAATAGAGTACCTTAAACTTTCATAAGGTAGAGGAAATTGAAATAATAAAATAACAAATACTGACCATTCACTTCGTATGTACTGGACATCACTCCAGAGCCTGGACTCTATAGTGTCACCAACGTGTTTCTTTTCTTTCTTTCTTTTTTATTTTTTCATTTGGTTTTTCAAGACAAGGTTTCTCTGTGTAGCTCTGGCTGTCCTGGAACTCACTCTTTAGATCAGGCTGGCCTAGAATGCAGAGATCCTCCTGCTTTTGCCTCCTGAGTGCTGGGATTAATGGCATGTGCCACTGCTGCCCAGCTAAGGTGTTTCAAATATACTTTGAAGTGGTCTAGATCTGGGGATCCAGATGGCGCTTGGTACGTTGGAAGTGTGCAAACATGCTCATTTTCAAGACTGTAAAAATGAACATTTGTTGAACAGTGTTGAATGTATGTTTTGTGCAAAGCTGTGAAGAAAGAGAATGTTTCTAATTTGACATAATACCATTTAATATTTAAATTTTTTGCACTGGCACCATATTGACTGTAAATACCATACACCTATTCTGAGTATAACTAGTATAGGCAATGTAGCTAATATCTTATAGATAATAGGTTGAACAGAGAATAAGTTGAACTGGTAAACAGAACATTACTAAAATTCGAAGAATTCATTTGAAAATATGAATCTAATTTAAAAAATTCACATTTGTTTTCTTTTTGTTGTTTTATTGAGGTATACTTTATAAAAAGTACATCCTTTCTTGGTGCACAGTTCCTTGGTTTTTATCAATTTTTTGCAGGCTGTAACCATCATCAGAATTAAGTAGTGAAACATTTCAACATCTTAAAAGGTTTTCTTGTGCCCTTTGTAGTTCATTGTCTTCCTGCCTACCTTGAGCCCTGGCAATCGGCTAGGGTTTCTACCCCTATGGCTTAGCTTTTATAGAATATTATATGTAGTAGAATCATAGAAAATAAAGCTGTCAAGTCCGGATTATATTAAGTTTAACTCTGATGCTGACTTATGTTATGGTACGCATTGGTAGTTCCTTCCTTGGTAGTGTCACATAGTGTTTCATTGGATGGGCATACCAATGGTTTATCCCTTCGAAGTTGGGGCCTTTGTGACTAACAATAGTATAAATACTTGTAGAGTGGTGTTTGTATGAACATAGGTCTTTGTTTCTCTTGAGTAAATGTTCAGAAGTAGACTTGCTGGGTTAATTCTCTAATACATTCCTCAATGTTTAAGCAAGGAGCTAGCTAGCACTTGGCATTCTTGTCAGCGATGTATGATCTAGCCGCTTTACATTTTCCCTCCATATTTGATGTCTTTTTCTTTTTTAATTTTGTTTCCAGGCAGGGGTTTATTATGTATCCTAGGCTGTCCTACTGCCACAGCTTCCTGAGTGTTCAGCTTATAGATGTCACCATGTCTGACGAATAATGATGTTTCTATTGAAGTCACTCTTACAGGTTTCCAGTGGTTTTTCCTAGCTAACCGCTCATAGCACTGAATATCTTCCTATGTGTCTACATACACACATTCTTTAGTGGTGACCTGACCTTTCTAATGTTTTACTGGACAAATTACTTAACATCTATGAGTTACCAGGACCCTGTTTGGCAAAGAGGTGCTAGCGGCAGTTACATTTATCAGGTATTCCTGCATTTTGGTTCTGCCATTAGTACTTCGGATGCACCAAACGTTTCAAGCATTACAAACTAAACACAGGTGCTTCTAACTAGCTCCACAGTTACTGAAGAGATACTTGGGTCCTGAGGAAGCAAAGTCAATTGCTAAAACCCGAGGAGCTTGTAAAGGCTGGAACTGTAAGCAGAGCCCAGTGTCTGGGCTGAAGTTCCTGGACTTCTGGACTGGGGCTTTGCCTCCTCTTTTATAGGTGATCATGCCTGTTTGAGTTAGAGGCATATTGCTTTCCAATCCCAGTTGGCTCAGCCCCCACTACTGTCATATTTAAAACACACTATCAAAATTAGAAATAAAGAAAACAGACAACATATTCAATTACATAATTCAGTGAAAACACTGTTCTTTTGTGGAAGTATCCTACCAGATACTTCCACAAAAGAACAGTGAAAATGATTACCCCCAAACGATTCTATGCCACTAAGGGTTTCTTTTCACAGATCTCTGGTGAGACCCTTTTACTCTCTAATTTTTGCAATATTATTTTTAATTTTATTTTATATGGACGGGTGCTTTTTCCTGCATGTGTGTCTGTATACCACCCGAGTGAGTGACTATGGACGTCAGAAGAGAGCATTGGATCCTTCGGAAAGTGAGTTACAAGTCACTGTGAGCCACCATGTTGGGTGCTGGGAATCAAGCTTGGACCTTCTGCAAGAGCAGCCAGTGCCTACAACCACTGAGCCATCTCTCCAGCCCCCTTATCAATGTTAATGACATTCCTGAAGGCTTCAGACCCTTAGCAGATCGTCAAAGAATGTTGGGTTGGTACATAATAAATTACAGGATCTGTCTTTTCTCGAAAGAGAATTAGGTTCCTTCTTAGTACTTGTAGAATTTAGGGGAAGGATCAGTGTCTCTGGATATGTCTGATAAGTCAGCAAATTGGTTAGAAATTTCGACCACATGTCTCTCGTAGAACAGATGAGACTACCACGGGCCCTGTTCAAGTAATTCACATGGTCTT